AACAGGGGATACGGCTTGTTGGTAGACGGGAGCAACTTGTTGGTAGACTTGTTGGGGTTGTTGGTAGACAACTTGAGATTCGTAGCAGCATGGGGCGGGTTGTTCGTAGATGACAACGGGTTGGGGTTGTTGTTCAACAACGACGGTTTCAACAACGGGTTCGGGTTCAACGACGACGGTTTCGACGACAGTTTGAGGTTGAGGCATAGCCAAGTTCAAGACAGTGTAAGAAGTGGAGTGAGAAGTTGGGTTGTAGTTGGCTTTGTCGTGGACGTGGACATCGGGAGATGGCACAACTTGGACGACGGGTTCAACTTGCACTTGGACGGGTTGCACTTGTTGTTCGACGACGATGGGTTGAGGTTTGGGTTGGCATCCGCAGCCGTGTTGGACACGTTCGACGACGACAGCTTGGGGTTGAGCAACGGCAACGGGTTGAGCAACAACTTGTTGGGCAGGTTGAGCAACAACTTGTTGGAAAGGTTGGGCGACAACTTGTTGGACGGGTTGAGCGACGACTTGTTGGACGGGTTGAGCGACGACGTGTTGGACAGGTTGAGCTACGAATTGTTCGAAGACGGGTTGCACTTGTTGGACTTGTTGGACTTGTTGGAAGTGAACTGGTTGAACTTGTTGAACTTGTTGGACATGTTGAACGGGTTGCACTTGTTGCACAGCGTGGTTGCATCCGCAATCAGCACCGTTGTAGAATGGAACAGCGGTGGCGATCTGTAAATGAGATATAAATTATTTTTTTATATTTATATAAATATATTTCAGGTCAGTTTTTTTATAACAACTATTAAATTATGTTTGAAAACTGTAATAACTAAAAGTTGATCGATATAAACATTTCATTTATTTTGAACTCACAAAAACCTAAATGTTTATTACTGATTGTAATGGTATTTACCTGGGCCACGAGGGCGGCGATGACGAAAGCACCAAAGAATTTCATTATTGAAACCTTTTCGTGTTTAGGGCACTAAGCGCAAACTCGAAATGTGATGAAAATGATGAAAATTCGAAATTTATACTAATGTTTAAGTGAATAACCTTCGCATAATTTGATAGTGAAATTATAAACAAACATAACGAATACGCACAGAACGTTACTTTTTTATGTAAATATGTATCTACGAGACGTGATTTTAGACCAGTTTTAGTTTGGTGAAATGGCAAAATAAAATATTTTTAGTACAATGAAAAATATATAGTTCATTTCACGAAGTACACAATAAAGCATGTAGTGTGTTATTAAATAATTCTGACGATCAATTGTTATGTAGTTAAGATGGTGTTATACAAGCAAAATACATAAACAACAACATTATATTTCAATAATATTACGCGATGGTGTTAAACTAATTATCAGTTACATTATAGAAATCAATATTATTTTAACTTGTATTAATTCAAATTTATTTGTCATAAGTTACGTTTTGTGAATATTTTTATTGTGAATATTATTATAATTAATTGTGGTTTTGATTGCATTATAAAATTTTAATAATACATTCACCCATGTAATTGTTAAAAAATAAATTTATATATACTAAATATCTTATTTAGTATATCTGAATATAAGCTGTAAGTTCTCAATTATTGTATTTGAACTTTTTAAATAATGATTTACATATTGTTTATTTTATAATATTGATCTTTTCAATATGTAGTTAATATTTAATTAGTTTCTTAAAGAGGTCGTTTTATTCTACCACATATTAGTAATTCATTATTTAATATACTTTCATTAAATACAATAGTAGATTGAATTCTATTTTATCAAGGATATCATGCGCATGCTCAAAGGAATTTTAATTTATTCGATAAAGTTGTTTTATTTTAATAAATAAATGTTTGATCAAAACTTTCAATGAATGGATTTGATTTGTTCTTAGCAATAATATTTGCTTATTTAAGCTTCTTTAACAGTTTAATATACTTGGAAATACTACAAGTTTATTAAACATTAAGCGAGAAAGTTTTAAAGTACATATATATTTCTGATTTGGTTATTCACATGGTATATCGGGAATTTCGCTGAAAATTGAATATTTTTGGAATGTCCAATATTTTATTAAATAATACTCAAGTTCTGTAAAATATTGACTGAAACTTGAAAGTAAATTTTAAATATTTATATTTATATGTATATATATATATATATATATACATTAAGTCTCATAAAAAACAGTATATGCTAAATAATAATTACGTCAATTTGCTTTTATAAACAATAATTTTTCAACTAGGTCATATGATTAATTATTATTGCTTTCTTCATTATTTCGCCCACATTCTGATTCAAATAAATGAATCTGATTTTTTGAACTGCAATTTTAAATATTATCATTTAAATTCTATTTTTATTAGATGAAAATATTTCTGTTCAAAATTATATACTAATATAATATTTTATTTTTCATTACGTTGGCTGATTTTAGAAACTCAAAAAGCATTCGATTTTCATTTCCAATACACAGTTTGTTTCAATTTAGCTGTTTAAAAGATAATAAATTCGAACGAAAAAAAATTATTAACTACTTCTATATAAGTATAATTATTTGCGATGTTGTCTATATATGTACCTTGATCTCCTAACTATTTATTTTGTTAATATTTTTTCATGATAATTATTAATTTTTTTTTATCATTTTTTATCAAGCATTATTGCTGATATCTTTTTGTTATTCCAGCAATCATTAATATTTTCACGGGTGTGAATTATTGAATATTTTATTTTTGCACATGAAATTTATGCTTGACTAGAAACTGAATAGACTTCTTTATATAGAACTTGATAACAAATATTATATTTAATGTTCGAATGTTTATACTGTAAGGGTGATTATATGTGTATATTGTGATCCAGTGATTATACTTCTATGAAATAAAGATGGATAGTTTCTGTAACTATTCATTTGACGAATCAAGTAAAAATAATTTTACAACTGTTGTTAATTATTTCACAATTAATCAATTTCTAGAAAAATTGCGGTGTTACAACTGTGTTTGGGCTAATTGTAACATATTCCGAAAAAAATGACAATAATGCCTGTGATAATTTATCATTTACTCATTTTTGAGAAAAAATACTTATTTCATACATCAACGCAAACTATAATTAATTCAAATAAAACATATAATATGTAATATGAATTTTAATCATAAATCAACTACAATTATTAAATAATACAAATAAAATATAGAGTGTCTCTTACAACACAATTTACATATGCTTACATATTATAGACTATATATTCCATTCAATCTTCTCTACTTATATCTGTAAATAATTCTTGTATGTTACAACTAGCCCAAAGATTTTGTTTCAATTAACCCCACGTGTGATTTTTACATTAATTAAGATATCATTCGAACAGTTTAGAAATTACAAAAATTGTCACACGTTAACAAAGATCGATAATTTTAAAACAAAATATAGGGGAAAGTCCCGTGACGCCAGACTGCACCTAAAGCCGGACACTCTATTTAACACGTATTATTTAAGCGAGTATAAATTTTTTTATTTCAAAATATAAGTGAAAGGGGCGCGGGGGGCACACAGGTGCAGGATCACGCGCCAAGACTCACCTGTGACGCACACGGCCACGGCGGGAGCAACCCTCTGTTGTTTTAGGCGCAAAAACACGTCGTCACCTAAATATCAATGAAAGTAATTCTAGTGCATTTATGCATTTATATTTCAGTGAAATTCAAAAATAAAAGTAGTACTTGATTGTTATCCGTAAAATGGTAGAATATTATTAGATATTTTAAACAATTTCATTGTCTGTCCCTTAGCACCGGACACTACGTCGTCCCTTAGCGCCGAACAGTAAAGATATTTATATTTTTTGTGAAAATTTACGTCATTTATTCTAATTATTCAATTTTGTTCTGTATGAGTGCTAACGGTTACTACATGACCCCATTTTTCGTATTTTCTAGTCAAAGAATGAAAATCTCTAGCTGAGAGCATCGGTGTGGCCCAGCCTAAAGGGTGGATAATTAGTGAATTTTTTTGCAATATCTAAGAATATTCGTCAAACACAAATGTGCAGACATTCCAGAGTGTGAAGATGGCTACATATGTGTTCAATGCTGGTTATTTTTAAATGTCCGGTACTAGGTGTCACTTTGTAAAATCATATTTTTTGTTACCAAAGTTTGATTGATAATATTAATTATTGTTTAGCAAAGATTGCGTTTTTGTTAATTTAGTTTAATTTCTAACTTTGTTATCTAATATAAGTCATAATTTAATAAACATTTCGTGAAAAAAAATTTGATTTATTTATGAATAACCTTAGCTGTCCGCCACTCGAGGACTAAAAGATTAAAATAAGTCGATAATAATAACGCAAACCGAAATTTTATGATAGATCAATTTTATTTGACATGTCAAATTTCCACTTGAGGTTATAGATCTCAAACATAACCTCAAGTGAAAATTGCTTCTGCTGGGTATAGTTGCATATATATATATAATAAAAATGTCAGCAAATACTTCGAGTATAGTTAAATGGTCATAATTGGATTGGACAACTACTGGGTTGCCATCCATTCAAAAGTCCATATAATAAAGTCAAAACAATTACTGAATGCCCTAAGTGTGACAAATTGTAATTAAAAATACAAAAAATGACATGTTAAAAATGACGGGTCTTTGCAGTTCTGTATATTGCGTAAGCCTGTGGGACAGTAGCTATGACAATATTATGCTGGATGGTTTACATGTCCAATAGAGACAAAAAAATATTTTAACATTGTTTAAAATTCTATTGAAAAACGCCTGTTACCCCTGTTACAGATAGCCCCTAATAATAATTTTATTTTCTAATTTAATTTAAATTCATTTAACTTAATTACAAATTATGATTAAGCGTGAAAAGAGTCTGAAATAATATTTATTAATATTGATTACGGATGACTTTTGAATAATTAAAATAATAAATTTATTTAACTAAGTTTTTTAACTAAGTTTTTTGTTGTAGTCCTTCCAGATTCGGGCGTCTGCCTGCCAGTTTCGGCGAATGCCAGTTCTGGCCTGTCGCCACCCATTCATGAGGTTCCGTCCATCGAGAACGCCGTCCGTCATGTGAGACCCTTGGAAGAATCGGCGACCGCGGGTCCGGAACTCGCCGAAGTCGTGTCTGCTGCGGCATTGCCGCCCTCGACTGATCCTGTCATCACCACGAATAATAAACCTTCGAAGACTGTCTATGCGACGCTGCACAGCAATAAAAGCAATGCGGAGAACAGAGCTCTTACCTATGATAAGGTAATTATTAATTTAAACTAGTGGTGCATGGCATCTTGTCCATCTCCAAGTCCACGTCTTCACTACGGTGGTGACAGACATTAACATAGGTTAAAAGACAATGAGTTTTTGAGTTATTGTCAGAAAAATGTAACACATCGCAAAATAATCATTACAAAGTTTATGAATATAATATAACAGTATTCAATATATGTACAGCAAAATATATTTTTAACTTCCCGTAGGGCAAGTTATACTAATCGCAAAAAAATCGAAAATGAAAATATATTGTGGCATACCTTAGAACACAGATAAAGCGATTTGAATAATTCAAGAAACATTCGATTCGTATTGATAAGGAGACGTGCTGATTAGTTTTTGGAAAAGGCAGGTCTAGCTGTTCCGAAGATATGGGGCAAAAAGTGCCAAAACCGGTAACTTAGTTTTAAAGAGAACGCAGCATCCGATTTGAATAATTCAAAAAACATTTCACTTATATTAACAAGATGAAAAACTGATCAAATGTTCATAAATGTAGGTCTAGCGGTTTCGGAGATCTAGTGAAAATTAAAAAAAATGCCATTGGGCGGGCAAAAATGATCATTAGACATATGCACATCAAATTATCAGATATTTTATAGAGATTTTAACAATAAGTATAAATTTTGTTTACATTCCTATGGGTTCCGTACCAGTGTTTATCCGTTAGACGGCGACGCTGCGCTTACGCGCTTCTATATTTCGTCATTATGCAGTTAAAGCAGTACGATTGCTTTGAATTTCCAAAATACGTCAAAATAAAGAAAACATTTTTTTCCCAAAATAATTTTTTTTTTCAAAAAAAAAGTAATTTTTTGTCAAATTTATAGTTTCTCAAAAATCTAATTATTTCGAAGTAAATTTTTTTCAAAAATGTTAATCGTTTTTAAAAAAATAATAATTTTTGGTACGGGAAGTTTCAGCAATTTGCCTTAAGGCACGATGCCATACGCCCCAGTAGTTTCAAACATAGTTAACAAGAATTAAACTCAACTATGCGGCCACTTTCCTTGTTACAATCAATATGTCACCATCACTACCAGTATTAGTGTTAATAGTCTTCTTTGAAATCAGTCAGAATCTCAATTAATAATCAACAGTTAACTAAGCAGTTGAAATATTAGAGAAACCATGTATCAATATATGTACTCAGATCTTGTAAGAATCATTGTTACAATGGTGACCTGCGAATTTTGTTGTTCTGCGCAACTTGTTCCTTGGTACTTGATTCTTTATACATCACTCCTACTTCCAGAATTTGAGCTTTCACAAACCAGACAGAATCAATCATCAAATGATGATTATAATTGTAAAATATTTTTTTGTATTGCTTTTTTCTTTCTTTTTCTCTTTCATATTTTGTCTTATTGTTAGTTAAATTAGATTCCACACATTAGTCGCAACCGTACCTAAAAAATTTATCACAATAACAAATCATCATTATTACCAGTACATCGTTGCTAAATTATCTACGCAAAAACTATTCGCTGGGAATTAACTACTAATGCTCAACCTACAGCATAATAACAAACAATGTGATCTATCTGTATACAAGTAATAGTTGTTATTAAAAGAAATCGAACATAAAATTCGAAAATTAAAAATCGTCTCTTTAGAAGCAATGCGGTCTACATGCGATCATGTAATGTAGAACGCTGACTCAATGCAATAATGGAAACTTTTTTGAACAAACATACTTCATATTTCTCCCTTTTAAATCTCAAAATTAGTATAGTCACATTGTGGATGTTTTTTGAACAAATCAAAATTAATTCTATCCATTCTTCTGAAAACATGTCAAGTATTAATATGCATGCATACAAACTGCACATACATATTCATGGGATTGCTGGAACTTTCTGTACCGTAACGAAATGTTCGAGAAATGTTAAATGTTTTCATATAGATTATAATAAATACTGTAGCATTGTCTAATATTTTTAAGATTTAGAAAAACTGAATTACAAAGTTAAAATTATTTATTTAAAGTATATAAGTGAGCTTTAGAACTTTAGTCAGAATTAAAATTAAAATCTGAATTATTTTCGATATACAAAGAAAACTTTTTTGAGAATAATAAATTGGATGTTTTTTTCGAAAGCAATTATTTTGTCAAAACAAGCAGAAAGAGTTTTGAACCATTCAAATCAGATGCTTAGTTCTCTCAAAAACTGCCGTTTCTTGCTCGGTATCTCCAAAACGGCTTGACCTGCCTTTGCCATCTAATCATCACTTCTCCCCGTCATTACAAATTGAATGTTTTTTAGATCATTCAAATCGGATGGTCCGTTCTTTCAAAAACTTGATTTTCATTTTTTGCACTTTTTGTTCCGTATCACCAAAACGGCTGGACCTGCCTTTGCCAAAAACCTTTGCCTTTCTATCAATAGGAATCGAATGTTTTTGAACCATTCAAATCGGTTGATCCGTGCGCTCAAAAACGTGCACGCAAAATTGTATCCATACATACATACACACACACATACACTCACATCAATTTTTTTTAAGGTATGCCAAAATGTTCAGAAACCTTCAAAGCGTGAAGAATTGTAAAAATTTTCCATTTCGATTTTTGGACGATTACAATAACTTACCTTACGGGAAGTTAATATCAATAAGTCTTACATACGAATTGGTATAAGCCGTAAAAACGACGAATTTCATGATATTCTATTTTATTTTAATGATTAAATATTTATATGAAACTATTAATAGATTATATTCGAACTATGTATATATTTAATTCGTTTATAATTAAAACTACGTTTGTTAGTGAGTGTCATTTATTTACTATAATTGCAATTAATGTAACTTCATTAATATATTTGATTAGATTCTCTAGTATTTATATTACTTCATGTATAGTAATATTAAATTGTACGTTTGCTTCATTTGTCACCTCGATTTCTATTTGTTCTAATTCATCGATCGAATTTGAATAGCTGACTAAAGCAAGTTATTGTATTTAACTCAATGAATATTTAATAAATATAGAGCAATATCACGTCCTGATGAATACGCCATATTGTATTATGTGTTTTATATAAAATTTGTATTGAAAAATATTGTAATTGTAAAGTAAAAAAGTATTGAATATTATTACAATATAGCATTTTATTTTATTTCAGAGAATTCAAATCTCTTTATTTCGCAGAATGTAGTTGTTTTGTTTTGACTTATAATAATAAATCAACTATAATAAAAATTTATGTTTCATATTTGATGCAATAAATTATATAGGTATGTATATATAGGGTAGGGCGGGGCACAAAGGTTCAAGTTGACTTTGAGCAAATATACTGTGAAAACGAAACCAATTATATTATATCACAACAAATAACATATATCAAAGAAACAACTATCTGACTATGTTCAGTAAAACTCCCAGCTGTATTTCATCACTGTATAAAAGTGTTTTTGTTCTGTTTTTCACAAATTTGTTACCTGATTCTTTTTACCCCATAGGCGAGGTAAATTGGGACGGTCAGGGGCCAACAGGTGCAATGTTATATTTTAATTTCGAAGGAGTTTTACATAATAATAGCTACTTTATTCAACCAATGCAAAATATAAATTTTATTTTTTGGTGCTTTTTTGCAGAGTTAACACTACTGTAAATAACCCTGATCTAGTATTTTGTCAGAAATATTCATTAGCAGAGTTGAAATAACTATTTATATCATATATCTCTTTAAAAAATTGCCTTTTTTACATCTTTGTCAGGGTAAAGGTTTAGTTTGACCTATTTACTCTACCCAGGTGTAAGCTTTTATAGAGGTTATATAAAAAAGCCTACAAAACAATTAAATAACGTATACATAAAAATTATATTAAGATCTCATAAACTAAACAACAGTACTCACGCCCAAAAAACTAAAAACTATAATAAATAGTTTTGTTACGGATTTTCAAACATTTCCGTTTTTCTCACGATAACAACGTCATAAGAATCAAGGTGGTGGACATTTTTTCCTTCTACTTACAAATATTGTGGTTAAAATATTCTTAACTTTACTGGTTTCTGAGATATCGGTGGTGGACTTTTCTACCCGCGGACGTTATATATATATATATATATATATATATATATATATATATATATATATAATATATACTAACAAAGTGTAATAATTCAGTAAAATACATACTTTTTTTAAAGTTTATTTTACATCCATACGTTTCAGTTATAATACTTGCCTTCATTCAAAGAAAAAAAAATAGTTAATCTTAGTTAGTGTTTAAGCATGAGTTTAGAATCACAATATAAATAAATATATATATATATATATATATATATATATATATATATATATAATCAATTCAGGAAATTTCTCTTTGAAAGACGGGTGTGACCTATATACGGATTTATTGACTTGTAAGCACATTTCCATGTCATATAACTTCAAAAATCCTAAGAATTGAATATAGTAGGCAATACGATTGTAAAAGTTACTATAATAATCTAGAAGAAAATAACATAATTCTAATTTAGATTTATACGTAAAATAAATTAAATTCTTCTTAATTGAGAAGATGCGAAAATATTAATATGGTTCGAGAAGAAGCTATGCTTATGTATGACTAAAGTGTAAATATTACTAGATAGTGAATTTATGCTATTTTCCGAAAATATTTGTCATTATATTACGATTTTTTTTAATATTGTCATCGACTAAAAGTGTATATAGATCTTATAATTTTACTGGGAGTTTTATAATTTTCGATCTTGTAATGTTACTGGAGACTTCATAAAATGACAAGAGTTCTAGTTTGATATTTAAAATATATTTTTGTTATTTTTAGTTTTATGCACTATCATCATCTATGTCAATCTTGTCAGAATATAGAAATGTATGGAACCTTATATTTAGCAAAAGCTCTATCAAAATCGAATACATATGTAGTTATTAAACATTTATTTTTCACTTCATAATAGCCATTTTTAGTTATGTTGTGAGTTTTGTATTAATTCATGCAAGTTTGTACTTACAATCAGTAGTTTATCGCGAAATATGTATTTACAATATAAAAATACGAACCACATGTATAGAAATTATATTTATTTTTAATAATATGCATGATATTGTCATATCTATGCTGGTCCGTTATTTTTGACAGGTAATATAAAATTAATTTATCATACAATTTTGGTTTGCATTATTATTATCGACTTACTTTAAATTTTATATATCTTATTTTGTTTCCACACGGTTGTGGAAATATTTTTACTTGATTCAGTAGAAAAATAATTATAGCAACTATTAATCAATCAGTGGATCTCAATATAAAGTAATTAAAAATAAAACTGTTACAACAATCCCTTAACGTCGTTGGTATATTTTTTAAATGTACCAACATAATTATGTTAATTTTCTTTACCAATTGGTTATCGATGATTAAGGTTTACATTTTGGCTGTTTTATTAATGTTTGCTTAGCATTCGAATAATTTAAAAAGTTCAGCAAATTACTTTAGCGAAACTAATATTTGTTTTTTTATTGACTTTGTATATACGTACGTTAGTCATATACATTTTATAAGTTATCTTCACACTTTTATTTTATTTGATTGTATATAATTGTATAGTGCACCATATATCCTTTTCTTTGTCAATAATTTTATAAAATTAGTTGAGAGGGAAATGTTTTGGTTTACTATCTCTCTCCATAGTTTTTGCCTATCCTTCTCCCATTTTTTGCACTTCATAATGGCGTGCTCAGCATCCGCCCTAGTCGCTCCACCCAAGCAATAGCAATTAGGATCAGCATTGATCCCAATTCTACTCAGGTGAAACGGAGTGTATGTATGGTTAAATCTTAGTCTACATATTGTGTTAACTAATATTGAAATATCACTGAAGATTTGCGCATATAGCTCTAAATAGAGTACTTTCATTTTGTTCTAAAACAGATTTCGGCGGACGGTTATTTCTACACTTATCAAGTTTTATTCTTCGTCAGTTATAGATATACGACTATACATCTTTACGTAAACAATATTACGATTTTGTCTCTGGTTCGTTACTAGAGACATATGTATACAGTTCTGGATTTACAGTAGGGGCAATCGGGGCTACTGCCCAGGGCGGCAAATTTTGGGGGGCGGCAAAATTTGGATAGTGAGAAAAAAATTCTATTTAATATAATCAACTTTTTTTAACAACATTTTTTATTTCAAGAAATATAATTAACAAAACATAATACGATTTCAATGCAAAATTTGGGTTGGAATAAACGTTAACTAAAATTTATTATTTTGGCTTGCCTCTCTCTCCGAACGTAAATTATCAAACTGGTTAATAAGTTATCAAATTTGGCAATTTGGCTAATATAAAGATCCGTAAACAAGCTGAAAGTATAAGAAAAATATGTTCTTCAGTTCGAGCCCTCTTAAAATGACGTATTTGTGCACTTCCAAGCTTATAGCGTCGAAAAAAAAATTAAACTAGTGACTCATGGCATTGTGCCTTAAGACAAATTACTGAAACATTCCGTACTGAAAATTACATTTTATAAAGAGCTTTAAATTTTATTGAAAAAAGAAAAAAAAACTTCTAAAACACATTTTTTGTGTTTTGAAATTTTTCGAAAATTATGAACTTTTTGCAAAGCAATCGAGCTGCGTAGCTGTTTCAGAGAAGAAATATCGAAACTCAATTACCATTTTTCGTAATTGCCTGTACCAAAAGCTAATCAGCACGTCTCCCCATCAATACAAATCTAATATTTTTTAATTATTCAAGTCGATTTCGAGAACACAGATCAACCGATTTATATTCAATTCCTATTGATAAAGAGACGTGCTGATTAGTTATTGGTCAAGGCAGGTCAAACTGTTCTGAAGATACGAGACAAAATGCCAAAAATGATAATTCAGTTTTTGAGAAAAAAGCGTCCAATAACATTCAAAAAAATTTACAGAATAAATAACTGCTTAAATTTGTGGGGGGCAGGTTCAGCGGTTTCGATGATCCAATAAAAAAATTTAAAAAAGAAACATTTGGCAGACAAAAGTAATCATAAGACATAGGCACATTAAATTATCAGATATTTTAAAGATATTATAATAATAAGTATAAATTTTGTTTACATTTATATAAGTTCTGTAACATTGTTTATCCGTTAGACTGCGACGCGGCGCTTACGCGCTTCTATATTTTGTCCCAGGCAGCTGAAGCAGCGCGATTGCTTTAAAAAAAAGTTCGAAAGTTCGTAAAATTTCAGGGATGAGGCGGCATTTTTGTCAGCGCCCCGGGGTCAAATTTCTAAATCCGGCCCTGTATGTGTATATGTATTCTATTCTATTACTATTCCCAGGAATCTGCCAATCGCAACCGAGTGGACGTCGCCGAATCGGTGCGCTTGGACGAGGGAGTTTTCCCTGTCCCCGGCGTGGATGATTCGGGCGACACTGAAGGCGCTTTGCAGATCGGGCCCGTAGCGGCGAACGTCGATCTCAAGACGGATGCTGGGAAACAACTTGTATCGAGGCCTAATGATACAACTGTTATGCAGACTCGAGACCAGGGCTTGCGCTACAATGCTGTAATACCTGATGCCTCACTAAGGTAATAACGAGGAACATGATATAACAGCAACATATTAGTTATCACATGTTATTTTGTCTCCGTATAACTGATATCACACGGTTTATTATCATCGTATCATCTGTTTTCTACCAATATTATATTTCATGTTTCAAAACTCTTTCAGTGTGTGATGAAATTATTTACTTTTCACATGAGTTCGTTTATCATGATAACTTTGAAATTAATTTTCTATTTTTATTAATTGTAAGGTCCTTTTTAATTTAGTAGAGTTTAAAATATATAGATTTTGCATACGTTCATTATTTATTAAAAATGTATAATACTAATAATTCAAATATTTAAAACTCCTTTTTGAGTGAGCGGATAACGACCTGATTAGAATGATTCGAAAAACATTTTTCTTGTTTTGACTGTGTGAGGAGATTATTAGTTCTCAAGGAAGGCAGGCCCTGCGGTTTCGGAGATATGGAGAAAACAATTCCAAAAATAGGCATTTGATGGTCATAAATTATTACAAGAAATATGTAAATCATATTATTAACGATAAAATCGAATATTTACACATACCAGGAAGTTCATACAAGTTATATTATAAAATTATGAAGAATTAATATTTTTCTGAAAATATACTTTTTAAATAGCAAGGCTTTAGATTCTTTCTAAATATAGATTGATTAATAATCTTCTATATTTATAAAAATAAGTCGGGTTTTCCTTCCTGACGAAATAACTCCAGAACGCACGAACCGATTTCGACAATTTTGCATTTGTTGGAAAGGCCTCGGGCTCCGCAAGGTTTATAGCTAAGAAAATTAGTTGTGCATGGCATCGTGCCTTAATGCAAGCTGCTGGAACTTCACGCATCGTAATTAAAAATTCGAGTAATGACATTAGTGAGAATTATCAGAATTATGCTTGGTTAAGTCAACGAGCAATTCTTGCCGCAAAGAATAATGATGTACACGCACTGAATTTCACCATTCAATCAAAAATTTCTGGCGATTTGGTGACATGCCATTGATTCCGACTGAATTTCCGTTTGACTTCAAACGATTGCAATTTCCAGTTCGCCTTGCGTTCGCAATAACGAGTCGCAAGGCCAATCGCTTAGTGTTTGCGGGATAAATTTCAAATAGATTATTTAGAAAATCATTGTTTTTCACATGGGCAATTATACGTTGCCTGTTCACGAGTTGGAAAACCATCCGCTTTGTTTGTGTTAACGTCAGACCAAAAAACAAAAAATGTGGTTTACCAAAGAGCACTTCAATCAAACAGATAATTTGCGGATTCACTTTCATTTACTTAGAGAAGTTCAACTAAAAAACACTTCATTTTTGTAATCGAAATAAATTCATTACTGTTGTATAATAAAATCAAATTTTTCCTTTTCAAATATAAAACAAACAAAAAATTTCTTCATCTTTCTCACGAAACCATCTGGTGGCGAAACGGAGTTTGTCGAGTTTGCTAGTATTATTTAAAAGTATTTATCGGGATCTTAAAATGGAATGTAAGCTAATAAAGTTTTAACCGGAAATGATATATTATTTTATCTAAAGCTTCAGATTTTTAAAGTAATTGAATCAAATAAATAGATTGTTTAAATCAACTTGATTAGTTCTTTATAAATATATATTGAAATAAGGGCTTTAACTGCAATTAATAATATAAATCATCACACTATTAATATGATTATATTGAATAGATGCGATTTGTGATTATTATGTTTTGCGTATGTGCCAAAATGTTTAATACATATGTAACAATATTTATTATTTTTATTTATTGTTTTTGTTTACTTTTGATTTTTTATGTCCCCGACTAAATATTGTTACACAACAGTTACAAAAGTTATAACCATAGTGAAGTATTAAAAAAAAATACTGGAAATTACTGGCTGTGTTGTTATTTTTAACGTGAAGTAATTGCACAATCTTTAAGTGTAATTGCTATTATTGTATGAAAGTTAAAGCTTAAATAAGAATAAAAAATGTGAGTAATTAAATGACGCATATCAGATTTAAACATATCAGCTTTAACATTTATTTAAAAAAATGAATAGTTATAGATATTTGTTAAATGTAGCAACTAAATTTGATATTGATCGATTACCATGTCTACAGCTAAATGTTTACAGCTTAAGGAAATATATCATTAAATGTTGATTATGCAAGTAAATAATTCGAATGTAAAACGTGTATCTTTAAATTCAACTAATACATTGATAAGTTTTTGATATTAAATACTAATTAATTAATTGCATGCATATATTTTAATATACAGTAAGCTGCTATTATGATATGGCTTTGATCGATGTGAGTGGCTTTGTAGTTGGTTTTAGTATCTAACATTGCGCTGAATAATAGATATTATTTTAATTCAATACGTGGCGTTTCAAAAGACAACTAAATTTGTGTTTATGATGCTGTGCCTGAAAGTAAATTGGCTGAAATTTAAGTGTGATAAACAAATGTAAGATCATCGTCAAATGTGTGACGAGTAAAATTTGTAAGCCAAAGTAAATATTGATACGAAACCAATAAAATACTTAAAAAATATAAATTCATATGTTTTTTAAACTTTTTTCGTATTTTCGAAAAGCTTTCTTGAAAACCAATATGGGCACTTCATGCAGTCGTATGAAAAGAATATTTCGTATAATCCTATTAGGTTTATTTGTTTTATTACATACACTTCGTATGCAGAGTCTTATCAATGATTAGGGTGATTAAATATCAAATACATTTACAATTTCTTTAGATCCAATAAATTTATTCAATATAGAATATAATTAAATTGAATGCTGCTACATAAATCATTGATGTATGTTATAGGTCCACCTTATGCGGTCCCTACCATCGCATAAAAAAATAGTCAATATGTCGTACGAAGTGGTTTATTATATGCAAAAATTAATAAATATTGTGAATATTAATTTTTGATCGATTTCTTTTATACGGTCCCAAAAAACGCACAAAATTATTAAAATATGAAAAGTTTTTTTATTTTTATTATCAATTATTAATTATTATAAAGGTAATTATCATTACTTTAAATATAAAAAATGAAATAAATTTTTGTAATGTTTGCTACTGAATAATTTACGCCGCTGCTCTAATATAGCTTTTGTTTTTTTATAATATGCAAGGAAAATGGTTTTTATAAAAATATGATCTAACTGTATTTTATGGCTTATAATATTATGTCTACATTATAAGATACAATTTCAAAATTAACATGTTTAATATGTTCCTAAATAAATTTTGAATCACACTATAACGTTTCAATCGTAACAGTTTTGAAACGGATGTATTCAACGTGTAATATTAAATGTGATTTTGAAATTAATTTGCCAATTATATTTTAATAAAAAGTTATAACAATTTTTGTATTTGCTGGTATATATTTTATTTAATCCTTTGGTTAAGAAAGTTTATGTAAAGTTATCAAAATATCTTAATAATGTTTTCTTTTGAATTTTGCTGAACATATGCAGATAATAGCTTTGACTGTTGAGAAATTTTAAAATTTATTATTTCTTTTTTTGCTTTCAGCAATCCAAAGGCTACAGTGTTGAGCGAATGTTCAGAATGCAGCACAACTATCACATCAGCACAGGAACAGCCGGAGCAGATTCAAAATATTACTGAAAATACTGCATCGACAGTCACTGAAGTTAACAATGTTGAAATTTTATCTGCAGAGAACAACACATCTGAAAACATCACCAGAATAGATGATATAGGGCTAATTCAAGAGGAATCGACTGAAGAAGTATTATCGAGATCTTCTTTGACTGTGCAGGTTAAAATAATATAGTTTATACAAGAGTAATTTATGTCTTGTATTTTTTTACTTTATATTGATTCTTTTCAATATATGCAGTACATACAATAATAAAATTTTATTTCAAATAATTACAATAAAATTACAATTTATTATATCTTACAATTTATATTAAAAGAAATGAGGTTTGTTTCATTTAAGAGACATGTAGAAGGATATTTTTTCACAATTTTGAAAATCTCTTCTGAAAGTATTTTCGGACCATTAAACTTTTAAATTGAAGAAGAGGAGCCCTGTTTATCAAACTTATTTATTTATTTCAAGTTGGCGACGTTATTGATTAATTTTAGTTATTGGGGCCGTTTGCTGTGCCAGCAAATTTTATGTTTGAGTTGCTTAATATTGCATAGTTGTTTGAAATATCACTTGTTGTTTTAAATTCTTCATCAATAAACAATTTATATACCATTTTAATCATATGAAAAGCAGCTTAAATTGATGTTTCCTTTTTAATTATTATATATATATATATATATATATATATATATATATATATATATATAAATCATTTGACTTTAAAAGTCGGGCGTTACATCAATAAAAAATAGTATGAAAATTTTTAGAAATTTATTTATAATTCATTTGTTTCAGCTAGCATCTTAGCCTTCATTCATTGGCAATCAATTTAACTATAAAAATTAAAACTAAAGAAATAATATGTAAGGAATTTCATGGAAAAACAATAATAATAATAAAAAAAAACTTACTTACTTTTTTACTTAGAAATATTTTCTACATTTTGGGAAATATTATGATAATATATGAAGCAAAAATCATTTTCTTAAGCAAATTCTTCGAGTTTTCCACTTTATATATGTTTATGATCGTCAATCTTTTTTTTGTTGGTCTGTCATTGTTATTCTTGTTGCTAGTTGTATGTATTTAATGTAATCATGTTAAAGATTGAATATGTTTTTAGGAAAGACGAGAGCCGCTGGGAAAGAGTTTAGGGCATGCAGTGGTCAGTGATGCTGAATCGGAGTCGGGCATGGATCCTGGTGCCATTGCTGGAATTTCTCTCGGTGTGCTCGCGATCGCTACGTTGGCTTCGGCAGCCAGCTTCGTCTTGTATCGCACGAGGTATTTGAACAACCCACAAACCCTGAGCGACAAATGCAGTAATCCCGATTCCAGTGGATACATTGATGACAGCACGATGCGGGTAATTTATCCTCATATTACTTTATAACTTATGTTTCTGAAATTAACTACGTCGCCGGATATTTATATTCAAGTCATACTGAATTATTGTTTAGCGACAAAATTTAGAAAGCATGTGTATGTCAATGCAAATTTTGCCTTTGAGAAAATGCCAATTTTCTCAAATACGGCTGTATTGATTTTAAAAGTTCAAAAGCTATTTGAAAAACTTTATAATAACTCAAAATTATTATGCTTTAAATTCTATATAATAAATAGTTTTTGAAATAAAATTTGAACTGTTCGAACATTCTTTAAAGGTTGTAAACAGATAGGTATATGGCGATCAAACCATTTTGCAATTAATAGATGAAACATTTTTTTAGCAATTTTCAAAAAATTGTCTATTTAGTTTTAAATGAAAATTACATGTATTCAACTGTTAAAAACTTTTAAACTTTGATAATTTAATAAATTAGGAATTTATTAAATTTTATGTTATATTATATATATATATATATATATATATATATATATATATATTATATTATTTATATATATATATATATGTGTGTGTGTGTGTGCTTAGCATGTGTTGATGATTATGCATAACTAATTGTTTTTATTATTTCAGGAAAATTCAGAAGAAATGTACAGTCTTGACAATGATTCCTTCCTCAATTCACTGGAGGCAATGACTATTCAAAATTACTGGACTGATAGTGTCAAACATACTAAATTGTAATGTGGCAAATTTATATTTAAGATTAACTTTATAATTTATAATTTTAACTACTTAAAAAGTACATTACATTATTTTATTAGAAACTATTGATATGTCACCCGAAATGCTGATAAAATATGATTGTACTTGAGTGTGTTCTCATACATAATTAGTTTGAGAGCATGTATTATATTTTCTTGAATGGTTGTGATATAGTTTTCAAAGATATGGCTTAAAATTTTTGTTAATTTTATGTTGTGATTTAGTTGTACTTAATAAAGCATTTTTATTTTTATTTATAACAGATACCCAAAGTTTATTTGACTACTGTAAAATCTTCAATATTATAGAAGGGCAATTTTCTATTTTTTAATTTAAATAGAGTATTATAGAACAATATATATTTATAAATTGAAAAAATGGTTAAACCATGAAATTCTGACAGTATTATAAATGTTGTAAATCTATTTTGATGTATTTTAGATTTATATAAATCAAAATATGTTTTAAAGTGTATTGGATTAATGGTAGTTTAGGCAGATTAATAATTAATTGGAAGATCCAAATACATTTCACAATTATATCATATCTAGTTATAATACACATATTGAAACAAATTTACATGTTCTATTATTACTATTATGTTATTCGATCTGGCAATTGTGAGATCAAAAAAAAGTTTTTTATGATTAACAAAAGAATTAATTTATTTAAAATTATAGGTTATTATATATATATATATATATATATATATATATATATTCGTAATTATATAAATTTACATATATATATAAATTTTGTAAGTGTTTATGAAACATGATGAAATAACAAATGCATATATGCGCCTAGCTAGTATTCCACAATTCTGTTTTCAACACAGAAACCCAGAGCAGGTAATAGCATAGGACTTTAACTTCATATCATCATTTTTAGAATTACTATGTTAAAAATTATTGTCGACGAAATCCAATTTTGTGTGTACACGTTTGATAGTAAAATATCATGTCTAATTGAATCACACTTTAATTTTAATAACTCATTATTATTGTGGCATTAAGAAATAATAAATCATCAATCTATTGAGTGAAATATTTCTAGACTAATATTGTCGAGAAGTGTTTAACATATCAAATCTTATAGGAACATTTAATTTTTTTGTGTATTGTAACAACAGTTTTCTCAAATTATATATTTATTTACAGCTTTTTATAATTTATGTAATAAGGTACAAAACATATCTGGGTATGACAAATCTAATAAATCATATTTCTACAGACCGCACATGCATTGAAGATTGGATTTGAGTATAGTGCCAGTTGTTCAGCTCGACAAGCCTTTTTTGTATTTGAGATACAGTGCATTAGATATTTTAGTTACATAAATAAAAAAGTATAAATTTATCATCTCAAGACATAACTATAGTTTTTTTTCATATTTATTGTTTAATTACAAAATAATTTTTATTTTTAGTTGTATTCCTACTTGCTGAATGATGGATAACAGAAAAAATAATTTCAAGTTGGTTGCAAAAATCTTAGAAATATATTTCAAGATCGAAAGAAATATGTAAAGTATATATTAAGATTAAAAATTGAGAAGATAATATAAATAATAAGATTTTCAAATTATAGGTGATATATATATTTAGTTATTATTTGCACACAGGCATCGTGATATGTAGAACGTTAATTTAAAAAGAAACGGCGTAATTTTGATTAATTACTTTTATTTGAAATGAGCGCCATCCCACGATCGTGACAGTGGCTGCAACTGTCAATTATGAATTATGACCAATGACATTTGATCTATCTGTTGCTATCACTCGTTATTTGAATGAGTTGTTTCAACTAAAATAAATAATAATTTAAGAAATATTTTTGATAATGGTGCGTGCATGGTATATGGATGACGAAGAAACTGATCAGCGTTTGGAACATCACAAAACTCCACCGGAATATGTGGATATGGCAGATGTTTTTGATAGAACTGGTGTTGAATATTACAAGGTTAATTTCAATGTCATTTTACATTATTCACAAATCTTATAATAATCAATATATTATTATGCCATCATGACAAAGTTACATTTCCAAAGCAGTAGGTATTGAGGGGTTTATATTTTATCTCACTAAAGTAGTACATTTAATTTGGCTTATTAGTATTGTTACTTTCATATAAGTTAATTGTTTGTCTCTTTAAATATGGATATGTAGTTTTGTTAGTTTTTGCAAAGCTTCCTCTAGTTTTTAATTCCAATAAAACATCTGAAGTCTAATTTAATTAAGCATTATTTGCTGAGAGTAATCATTCTACTTTAAACTCGACATGATCATGTAAATTCAAACTTTAGAATGCATTTACTGATATTTTAATCAATATTCAAATTCTATTCAAGATTAAGTGTGAGTCAGCTAAGTATTTTTATGTTTTAAGAGATCTCGGTATTAAATTTCTCATATATCTAAATCTAAGATATTTACTTTTTTACTTCACTTAATGATAAAATGAGTTTTGCTGCTAAATGCACTTGGGAATTCATAACTAAACCTTTCACCTTTTAATCATTTTATTTATTTTTGTCATTCTTTCCTAGAAGTAAATCACATACTAGTCTAAAAATACATGCTAAATTTATTGCATGTACACCTAAGTCTGTTTTTACACGGAGATTGGTTCCAGAAGAAACCGTGTAAAAAAAAAAAAGTGTAAAAAAAGACATTGATCTTATACAAAAATGGGTGATTTGTCCTACTCTCTAAAACCTATTAAAATTAGTGAAAAATAAGGATTTTCAAGAACAAGAATTCATGTTTATTTTAATAATAATTCCCCTAAATTAGTGCTATTCACATTTGCTTTGACCAGTAAAAATTGTTTGTACGCGCTAAAGGGGAATTCACTTAAATCTTTAAGCTAGTGTTTGCAAACTATCGATACTATCGATGGTTTCAGACTTTTTTCTTTCATAAATACTTTTTTGTGATATGAACATACATAGCAGAAAATTAAATTTGACAAAAAAATTTAAGTACATAAAATTTCAAATCGTGCTAAATGGAATAAAATCGTGTAAAAAAACTAAAAATATTCAATTTTCAAACCGTGTTATATCAAAACCGTGTACAAAAAGACCGTGTAAAAACAGACTTAGGTGTAATTAATTTTTATTGCTTTACAAATAATGATGAATTTTAATTAAAATGCTTCTTCAACATCACCTTATTTTTACTTACTTACTACAACTTTTTACTTAATTTTTGATGAAATTAAAATTTCAAGAACATCAGAAATGAGTCACTCACTTTTGGGCAGTTATTTCAAGTATTTCTATTAGAATTTTTACGTCATTTAATAGAGTATACTTACGCAGTTTTTATTATTCTTGAATATAATAGAAAAATCTTTATTTTATAAGTATAAAGGTCATTGATTTTATTATATGTCTTAGATGACAAAATTCGATTACTTTTGAAACTATCATATGAACTTTCTCTCATACTTTTTCTTGTGAAGTATCTAATCTCCTTCACCTCTTTGTAGATAGATCACTTACATTACCAGACCGATGAAGTTTTATTGAAGCTAAAATCAGATAGAAATTATACTTATGAAGATGACATTACTTGTTCTCCTGAATGCTTAAAGAATTATGAAACAACATTGAAAAGCTTTTTCAAAGAACATTTGCATACCGATGAAGAGATTAGACTGGTTTTGGAAGGATCTGGATATTTTGATGTACGAGATAAAAGTGATAAATGGATAAGAATTAATGTTGTGGCTGGTGACATGATAATAATTCCCAGTGGGATCTATCATAGATTTACCATGGATATGAAGGTAGTTTATGAAATAAGAAATTATTTTATAATAAATAAAATACACAAATATATATTTAAATTATATTTTTGGGACCTATTCTGACGCATAACATAACAGACAAATGTTATGGCAAGGTTATGTTATGAAGAACTTTCCTTTCAACAAATTAGTTGAAATTATTGACTAAATGCACAAATGTCATAAAAATGATGTTAGATAACAGGGTCTTTCTGAATTGGGTTCATAACATACGAGTGGCATTGCAGTTTATGTGTAAAACGCCTGAATGCACAGTAAATTTTGACAGTATTCAGTATAATTCACTAGCATAATGTATAGAAGCTGGACCGTAACATGGCTTTGCCATAACATTTGTCTGTTATGAGGCAGAATCGGTTTCAAAGGATAAGTTGATATTTGAAATAGCTGAAGCAATTCGTGTAAAACATACTTTATATTTACAATATGCTTTATTTCAATAAATCATATTGCTTCAACGTTCCATACATTTTTACTTTTTTTCATTGTGCAATTGAATAGATATCTATTCTTTATTTTATTTGTAAAAGAGAATAGATGATGAAGAACAAATTCATAATTGTAAATATATATTATATGATTACTCTTGTTCTTTATTTTTCATATGCAATAAATTTATAATGAAAAGTTTTAAATTATTTTCTCATTTCAGAATTACATAAGAGCAAAAAGATATTTTGTGGGTGAACCTGTTTGGGTACCATACAATAGGCCTGCAGATGACATGGAGTGTCGAAAACAATATCTTCAGAAGCTAAATGCTGCTGCTTTTTGATAAAATAACAAAATACTATTGAAGTCTCTCTTATTACCTTTTTTAAATATACATTTGTGAATAGTTACTTTATAAAAATTAATATATATATATAAAAATGTTAGAACTGAAATATAGTTATCTTTATACATTTTATGAATAATGAATTGTTTTTCTTGCATTCAAAATTTTTAATCAGGACTCAGTTCAACAGCATACATAGATAATTTTCTTAACTTCTTACTAAACAAAGATTAATTGCATAATAATTTGCAGAAAATTAAAGTTCAATTAATGTTGTTCGGATGAAGTTGGTGATAGCAATTTCTGAAAACTGTGAATGTGAATAAATCCACATTGGAAGTATTTATCATAAACTGGAAAGAATGTATTAGGTGTTTTTATCATTTAAAAGGTTTTGTTAATTGAGCAGGGACTTAATTTTTTCTTTTTATTTGTTATAATGCTATGCTATTTAAATATGTATATTATATGTAATAA